GAGAGAGAGAGAGAGAGAGCATGTATGCGTACTTGCTTGTGTGCATGGGTTCATAAGGATAATGACTGAGGTGTAAGAATGACACAGACTTGTGTGGTGCAAACAAATATCTCTTCGCTCTATCTGTCCCTGCCTCTCCATCTGAGCCGACTGTCAGGGAAATAAAGTGTCAGCATGAAATAATAAAAAGTCCAGACTCATCTGCACATTATTAGCCTTCAAGTCCATATTTGCTTCCCGTGCATTTGCTGTTAACCTTTTGCACACAGACTGCTGCATCTTTTTATTCAGCATAACTTTTGTGGAACTTTTGGATTGCCATCAAAAATGTTGGATTGGATTGCCAAATGTTAAGGTCAAGTGAAAAAAAAATTGATGTAATTGTCAATGCAACTTAAGTGAAGTTTGCTCTGAGGCATTTTAGTCCTTTGCACATTTGATTTCATTACCACCGAGTCTGCAATGAAATGATTACAGTGGTTAAACTATTAAACTATTAAAAATCCTCATTACATAAAGCTTTGTTCTCTCCAGTATAGGTTTGGCACTTTAGAAGTATAAATTCATCACAGTAAAATGTCTCTCTGCTTCAAGTTCTTGCATGAATTACAGATGTAGTCTGTGCCCTGCAATCAGGCATGACTAATGTTACATTAGTGCTTAAATGTGAACAGCAAAAACACCGTAGTTAATGGCTGCAGTGACAAGAGGTTGCAGAAAGTCACCATGCCCTGGTGGAGTATGATGATTGGTTACAAATTATGACTATGACACTTTGTGTGTAACTGATGCACACAGACAGTGTGAATCCAAGTGATCCACGCACAGTCATCTTTCTGATAAAAGGAGTGGGCTGCGCTTTGCAGTGGAATCGTCTAAAATGCACTCAAACAGAAAGAAATCTGTGATCTGGTTTCTTCTGGATAACAATGGCTGTAAACTCATCGGTATGTTGGACCTGCCAACACAGTGCACAAAACACACATGCTCATGTGGACAGCAATGCACACTCACTGAATTACTAGGAACACCCTTCCTTTCACCAGATGGTCAGTCTTGCCTCCCTGCAGAGAACTGTGCACCACCACAAAGAAGAAACACATGCAGGCCTTACTTACTTGAAATATCTGAATACTTCCTATTGTTGTTCTCAGTTTATGAGATGTGGGTTTGTTGCACATACAAACATTGTTGTTTTGGTCTACCACTGAAATGTAAGTCAATTAATCAGAGGGTCACAACTATTAAAAGATTGATAAATCTGTACCACTGGCATGATCGCTCCTCTTTTTCAGGTTCATGTTTTTGACCTGAGCGTCAACAAATACGAGGCGATCTGCCAGCAGCTGGTGGTGGACAAAAAGAAGACCAAGCTGACCCACGTCGAGTTTAATCCCATCCATCCTGTCATCATAGTGGGTGATGACCGAGGCTATGTCACCAGCTTCAAACTCTCTCCTAACCTCCGCAAGAAGCCGAAGGTTAGAGTCTTAACAAGCTTACCGCACCATTCGCGACTTCCACTTGTTCCACATCAATTAAAGCAAATCAAATGATTCATTCAGTCCAGTGTCCTGACCCCGAGCTAATTTTACTAAATAGCAAGTCTCTCCCACCCCCACCCACCATTAGCATTACTAATTGCCTTTGTTGCTTTTTTCCCTTTATATTTATCCCAGTTAACAATTAGCCTCATTGTGTAGTGTTCTTAGTAAATGAATGAGTGTATGAAAAGCTACAATATAAAAGAAAGCTTACAGCATTTTTTTTCTGTGCTCTGAGTTTGGGATTTTAAAATGGTGAGGGCATAGAGTGCTAAAACATTACAGAGAAAATGAAGAGTAAAAAAGTATTTTTTGATCTTCATTTTCGTATTTTTAAACTTGTAGCTATGAAATAAATCAAAAATGTACTTTGGTCAACTCACAATTTATAAGTCCCTGAAGACGCTGTTGCCACTTATGCTAATGGTTAATGGGCTGTGGAGTAATCACATCACTCTGTCTGAACATAAAAGAAACCGGGTGGCACGCTGAGTCACAACACTTTAATCAGGACACATTTAAAGTCAGCCCTACAGCCTCTCTATTCTTCCTGTGCATTGTTCACAATGGTGCATGTAAAATAGAATAAATTCTAATGACCAGTGTAATATGCATGCTGCATTATACATGGTATCGCCAAAACACAAACAGGTCCCTTTCACCTGCCCGCATAAACACGGTTTATAAAAGTACAGCATAATAAGGCATGTACACACATACACACACTCACAACACTGCCTCATTAGCGACCTAAGACCGTAGCCCTAAAGCATACAATTGGGGAATAATTGCTCAGTTCAGCACCAGTGACAGGGCTCAGAGCAATTTGGAAGCTACTGAAGCAAATAAGTATAAGACAGTAACACCCACAGTTAATATTATCAATAATATATCTTGTAAAATTCATATCTTAGCCTACCAAAACTATAAATATACCCAAAAGTGGTCTAGCCAAACTAGCCAATGTGTTGTACTTACCAATTGTAAGGGTTTCTATAAAGTAGATCATAGTCTTGGCGCTAGTACTATAAACCAGTCCAACCCTTCTGTTATCTTTTAGTGCTCTTCTCTTCTCCCCAGTTTCTAAGTCATTGTTTGGACATTCCAGAATGAACTACAGCTTTTAGTGTCCAAAATAGAAAATATGCAATGCACATCTCAGCAATAAACAGTCACTAACTAGACAGCATTACATACAATTGTTGTACTGTCCAGTAGATTCTGCCGTGTTACTCAGTGAGTCCATTAACATCAAATGACCCTGTGTATGTTCAGTACAACACACTGTTTAGCTACTTTCAACATGAATGCGTTCATCTCATCTCAGCCTCCTACTTTCATGCCCACAAATCAGTGATGGGTCGATCATAAAAGTCGCATTATGAAGTATTTTATGACTCTTAAATAAAACTTCCATATTAAAATTTAGTTTTCTACATAATTTGTGTAGCATTGCCAAAAAATGAGAAGACATCAAATTTAAGGCCTTACAGTAAATGGAGAAAATTAGTACACATTCATATTATACACAGACAAGTCTGCCGTTTTATGTTTTTGGAAAATAACCAGAAAAATAAGTATTTGGAAAATTAAATCCGGATACATTCAATTTGAGACAAAACCTTTATGACTGAGATCAGTTTTGAAGCTTTATTCACTTTGAGTTTAGCCTTTCACTCTGCTCTGTGAAAACTCATCACTGCCCAGATATATTATCTTGAGATAAGATGGTCTTTCTTCAGAGGAACACCTTTGACTATTTCAAATGTCAAAATAGCCACACCGAAATATACAGCAAATATATTTTTTCCAGGCTTAAATTGAGGCGTTAGCTGCTCAGCTGTCATTTTTCACTATGTTCAGTTATGACTAGTTCTAGAAATATTCACTGCATCCCACCTACATACAGATACGTTAAATAGTACAGCACATACATTTTTTTGCTTTTAATATTAATAGTGTTTGACTTGGTAAACAAATTGTCAAACGTCTTACTGTTTTCTTTTAGTAAGATGAAAAGTTCACACGAGATGCTTCGCTTCAGAATTGATTACATAGTTATTTCCATAGGTTTTTGAAAAATGACACTTTTTAAATATAATTTTTATATAAATTTTATACAAAGTCCTCCATTTTCATCATTTCATACTCTTTTTTTATTTAAAATACCACAGCACTTTAGAAGGCTTGAACTTCATCGCAACACAGAGGTTTGCAACAGGGTGTAGTCAATACCTGCAGGGGATGGCCTAATCAACAAATGTCCTTTTTTATTGAATATAATGATTTGGATGAAGTAATATCTAATGTGGATTGGTAGTTACAGTGTAACAGATGGATACACGTATATCATTGGTTAATACATACTGTTGCATCTGCTCATTAATGTGCCCACATGCCATTCTATTTTTACCTGTGGCTTTTTGAGGTTTATTCTGTTGGGCCTCTTAAATCAAAGCCGTATTAAGTATGAGTAAAGCCTGTAACAATTGTAGAGGAGCTTTGATAAGTTCTAATAAATATCCTCTCACAGAAGTGAAATTAACTCCTGCAGCAAAATAGAACTAAAGCTGTGCCATATTATATCGCTCTTAAGAGGCTGTGCTTTACTACACCCAGGAGGATTTAATGTCATCTCACCATAACTTTGGAAGATGGCTTTGAATTTGCCCTTTAGGCAGTAGCTCTGTGTCTCCACAGCAGATTTCACTATATTCAATAGACTAACATAAAATCTCTGCTACTTTTGACCCTGCATCCATTTCAATTTTTGTCTGCTTTTATTATCTTGCCCTCCTTTTTAACTCCCTGCTGGGTTTGTGGTTTCCCACAGTGCTTGGTAAGTATAAGGTCAAGTAATTTCTCATCTGTACGTGTGTGTGTGTGTGTGTGTGTGTGTGTGTGTGTGTGTGTGTGTGTGTGTGTGTGTGTGTATAATGTCTATAGGCCAAGAAAGGTCATGAGCTGCCTAAGGGACCAGAAGTGGAGGTAGCGAAAATGGAGAAGCTCCTCAGCCTGCTAAGAGAACCAGACCAAAACTCAGGTTAAAGTGGTCACCTTGGTTTCTAAGCCAAACACAAATAGAGTGTTTCATTGCCGTTCATGAAAAACACTTATTTTGTTCACACTATTCAGTAAACATCACATGACAACAAACCGATATGTATATGTTTATTAAAATGTGTTCTTCCAGCTTAAGTTAAGATGTCCATCATTTATTCATAATCACATCATATTTGTTGTTGAAATTGCTGTTCTTGGTGCACATTAACCAGGCATTATGATTTGTCTGACCTCCTCTGCAGGCATGTATAAAGCTCATTTCATATGTATGGTACAAGTTAATTAAGCTAAATAGCAAGGGGGAAAGTCACAGCATTGGACAGGGAGATAAATTACCCTACTAGACTGGGCACTTGTGGACCACATCCAAACAACTGGCACACATAGTCCTGGGCACCGTTCCAGGGATGGTAGCCTTTTAATGTTCCATCTACTGAATGGTTTCTGCCTTTATTTTTTGTTTTCATTCCTCTCATTCTTAATGATCTGCAGTAAAGCGCCGCCCAGTACTCTAATGCTCACCTGGAATAACATTTTGCTCTCTGTCTCCCAAGCTCTTTTTCTTTCTGTCTTTCTGCCACAGAGAGTTCCTTTATCCTTTGGGTCTAGATGTGATCACATCCAGCAATTTCTCCCTTATGAGTAATTCATTACATTACAATTTCTCCAAGTGTGGTTGGAGAACGCTGCCTGATCATCTCATGTTTGCAGATGTGTAATAAATGAGAGTGCCCGTGTTGTAGTAATGAGAATGTGGCTGCAGTTATACAGTTATGTTGTTATTGCAGTAATAGGAAGCATAAAGGGTGGAAGCTTGGCTAAAGCACTGCCAGGTTTGCTTATTTTCAGCTTTCTGGGTTCTTGCAGCTGCGTGTATAACACATGAGGATTATATGGAAGTGTGGTCAAGTCTTTAGGGAGAGCACTTCTACTACAAAGGTCATAAATTCACTGAATCTTCGCTAGCATGTCCAGAAAATAATTTCACCCTTAGGGCACTGACTTTTAAGCATCATTATTACGTGATATTCAGCAAGTTTCTGGAATATGTGGTAATTAATTGTTGATCAGTTAATCAGTGATTCATTCAACCTCAATATATTTATGTATTTATATAATATCTAATATATGTTTAAAGATATGAACTTCTTTGTTTTCTGACTTTCTCTAAACTTAATCCATTTACTCATATTGTGTTTCATATGAAAAAGAAAATGATGAAAAGGAGTCTATTAGCAGTAGGTATATTTTCGCGCATGGAGTAGGAATATATTTTGAGAACCTTTTCTTTCTTACTCCTTTTTGATGTACGTGTGATCTCAGCTGTAATAGTGGAGAAGTGGTTGAGTCTTAATAATTTGCAATGGGATGTTGGTAAAACTGAAGATCTTTACGTGATCAGCGTGTGATTCTGTCCAAAGCGAGCTGCCTGTCACACATGGCTGCAGGCAGATGTCACTATGAGGGCTGCTATTTCAACTAAGCATCGCTAGTTCTTATACAACACCCATAGCAAAAGCACTGTGCCTCACAGTCCACTGATATTTATGAGTGACAGTGACACACACAGACTCCACACGGGCTCAAGTCCCTGTTCTGAGTAACATACTGTTTCTCTTTTTTTTCAGGCCAACATATGAAATAAGAGGATATATATTTAGAAACCTCCAACAAGTACTACCGGTAGTCATTCTTCATGTACTGAACCCTCCTTTCTCTCAGTCTGTACGTAACCTGCAGACATCCTTGTGACCATGTGTTCCTCTCGAGGCTTTTTGTGTGTGCGTTAAACACAGATTCGCACCGGCACTCCCCCGTGTGTTTTGTCAAACCAGTTACCAGATTTGACAAGTGATCGCTGTTTAAAAATAGTTCTCTCACTCCACAACAACTCATCCTTTCTGTTTTTGTGAGGCATTTCTGATTTTAGAGCGACAGCTGATTTCTTTATTTTTTATTTTTTTATTTTTTGACACTAGGAGAGGACAAGCTTCGTTATTGCTTGCAGTCAGGCTCAGTGCTCCTTCACTTCCCTCTCCTGTGGAGGAGTACGCTGAGGTCATAGCTTGTTGCTACATTTGACTCATTCTTCATCAGTCAGGAGGTTAACAGGTACTTGTGCTCGTTCATCTGCTGGGTTTCTGCTTCACTTGGAGCCAGCACAGGCTGCCTCTCTGGGCTAGAAGGAACCCTGCAGGCCCGGTAGAGGATTAGACAGAGGAGGAGAAGGAGGATGGCAACAAAGGTGTTGCAGGCGATGGCCACCAGTGCAGCTGTGGACAGTCCTGTGCTTCCTTCTGATTCCATATTTAAGACTGGACAGCAGTTCCCAGTGACGTTTAACCTAAATTTGAGCTTTTAAGTTGGCTCCTTGATGTCCTTAGTTCATTAGTAAGACCAAGCAGCAGCATATTTATTTAGAAAGCATGAATCTATAGGAGGTGATGTCCACAGAAGAACTTAACATATATCTCCATCATATAGTTAATTATGGTAATTATTGTGGGATAAAATTAATATGTAATATGAACATCAAAGTGGAGTGTTCCCTTCCACAAAGCACACACTGTATTGTGCAGAATTTTTAGAGAAGACAAGCACAGGAAAGTTGGCTTGCATGTGTCACTTAAGATATGAATGTTTGCTCCTCAAGGTTCTGTTTTTCCTGATAGCTTCTTTAGGGTGACACACCAGTGCTCCGACATACAGAGGAGGCTCGCAGCACTTTCTCCCAGTGATGATTTCACAATAGTCTGTATTGTCAAAACACTGCTTATGATTCCAGTAAACGCCTGCAACTGTCTGTAAGAGAGAAACAAATAGAACAATTAGGAATAATTGAACACCTGTGGAGCATGAAATGGAAAGTGGAGCACAGTATGTCTCAGTTAACTCATCAATCTTTTCAATCAGTCTCCTTCTCCTTGCTGTTCATTGTTTTATATCAGTTTTATACTATATATTAATATATGTGTAACATTTGTACTATTTTTTAATGCCATCTCCGTCTAATTAATGTCTTTTATAATAGAAGTCAGCATTTGAGAGCACACACAGGCACAGAAGAACACAGGGATGAGGATCAAAACACTGGACACATAGGCAGGATGTATAAACAAAAGATTAATTTCAGTTTGACTTGCTGTAAACCCAAATAACCACGAACACGCTCAAAAACACACGAGGAACTGAACACAGGAACACGAGAACAGAGGAAGCAGATAGGAGGAAGCAGGCGTAAACACAGGCTGTGCAGGCAACCTGATAAACAACAGTGATAGGGACAGGATTAGAAACAAACAGGGAACTAATTGAATACAGGTTAAGCTAACATGGGAGGCACCGACAATTAAATAAAGAGGGAAAAAAACAAAGTCTGAAGACAAAACGATGGCATCACTCCTCCTCCTCACAGTGTAATGAATTCAGGTCAGACTCAGTGTCCTTCCATTTTGTGGACCGTTATTGTGATAATGCATCAGCTCATTTCCTTAGATGTCTCATTTCAAAATGACACAAAAACTTTGTAAAAAGATAATTAGCTCATATCTGTACCTCAGTTTTTTATTTCTTCACTAAACTTGAATTGTTATTTTCAGTAAAATATAGTCCTAGAGAGTGTATTTTAAAATAAAACTCATATATCTCAAAGGCTGGATCTTGTGATCTGTGTCAGGATAGGTAATGTGGATTCGAAGATCAGGTTCATGACTTTTTACTTGATGATCAATGATCCTTTTAAGCCATTTGAGAAAGAAAACTTGAGGAAAGCCTTTGCAAGAATACTGACTCCAAAAAATGCTTCATGACTGAACTGATGGCAATTTTGATTTGACTTTGATTTTTCCAAAAAAAAAAAAAAGCCATTCAAACTGTAATCCAGCATGCTAATTTTTTACTACTACACAATATGGTTTGTTTCTACTCTTTACACACTTATTAACCAAATTAATTATCATTTTTAGTAAACAGAAAAGCACACTGTATTGCCTGAACAGACAGAAATCCCCTACTTTGAGGAAGAAGTGAGAAAGAGTGTTCAGTAAGACTGTTGACTTAAAAAAAAAAGATTAAAAAATCACCAGAGTAAATTTTACTGTATCATATAATAAGTCACCTTGTTTCCCCGAGAACAGTCAACTAAACTTAGAAGGTGGATTCCAGATATCTTCTTTATTGTGAGTATTAATATATTATATATAAAGTACTATTACCAAGGATTTTCTCAGTTGACCATGCAGAACAATGGTACTGTAGTGGTATATTGAACTTACTTTCAAAACAAATGCTGAACCTCAACACTAGCTCATAAATGCTACTGGTAAACACTAAATCATTACTGGCCAGAGGATTCTTGGGCAAGGTAGCTAGGTAAACCTCACCACTGTTTTCAATCATGCAAACACTAAAAACAACACATCTACAAGGTCTAAACTCAAAATTACCGAAATAGCATTAAATCGGTCATGATGGTTAGCCACCCCTGGTATGAATGGAACATCTGTTTGGAGCTATATGAAAGCCTTCCCTTCCAGCTGAGTGGCTACGCAGGCAGCGAAAGGGAGCATATGCCCCATTTGTACACAATTATGCACACCATATCTACTGTGTTAAGCTTAAATTTTATACAGCCGCCGCTAGGTTGATGCAAATTGATCGCAGGCCACTGTAGGTTCACATGCACCAGCTCTGCTTGCACACGAGAATTCGATTTCAGCTGGCTCCACAACCACAGCTAATAGAGTTAGCGCTGCTTTTGAAGCAATAATATCAGTTTGTGATTGTTACTAATCCAAATCAACCAATGGACTGTGCATTCCTACTAATCGCATTGTGTTTCCCTGCATAACTCACATGCTACAAGCTCGCTGCACACTGTGCACTTTGATTCACCAAAATAAAGTTGTGGTAACCTACTCTCTCCCCCTCTCTCTCTCTCTCTTTCTCACACATACATGCATACATGGTTGCTGTGCTCATCTTTCTTGACAACTGAATATCTTTAATAAAGGTGGACCAGTTGCTAATGTAGATGCACATTAACCAGGCAGAAATTCACTCCCATTATTTTCCCATTTGGAGGATTAGCATGTCAATATGTTTACACTGCAAAAGCACTTACCAGTGAACAGTGAACTTATGTTGCGCGTGAATAGTGTTGTCCGGAAGATCGCTTTTTGAATCTTGTTACTTTCTAAAAACATGAAAATTCATTTTATTTGTGAATATTTTATTGTAAATGAAACACGTCACTTCATTTTACTCATTGCTATCATCATTGCCATGTAAAAGCACAGAGGCATCTAGAGTTTAAGGCACTACAATCGTCGCTCATCACTGATCTTGGGATTTGAGGCCTGTCCTGATCTTTGCTCTGCATTCTCAAGTTAGTGCTGAATAGCATGAGTACAGCCACTTCCCGTGAGGAAAAAAACGCCTCTTCAAACCCAGTGAATCACATGGATATAACCCTCTATGTGTTATTCACGTGACTCAGTTGAATCTAGCATGATTTCTATCAGTCAGTCTTAAATCTGCTTGTCTCACCTAACTATTGAGAAGCCCTTCTAATTCCAATATCTGCATGGAAGTGACAGCGCTGTCACACCTAGACTCGCTATCACCTCTTATCAGTCTCATGTTAATCAGAGTCCCCTGCGTCAGTTGATTTCATACCCCCACATGTGCAGTTGGAGACCTGGCTGCCTGCAGAGTGTGACAGGTGGATCTGATAAAGTCACAGAGCATTTGATCTGGATTTGGTGCAGCCTTCAATCCTCAGGTGGAAAGGAAGCTCCATTTTTTTCACTCTTTAGTGATTAAGGAGGATACCTCAGTCACAACTGGTGATCTCCCCCTGATCTCATAACTCGCTGCGTACTTAAATAGCACCAGCTGGCCCCAGTCCTATGGAAAACATAATTCTAATAACAATCTTAACTTCAAAACACTAAGAATGTTAAGACTTTCCAATTTGTTTTTATCACGCTATGTGTTGCTATGGAGCAAAGTCTTACATTCACAGTAGTTGCACACTTACCCGACACACTGAGGCATCAGTTTTTCTACTGTTCTTTGAATAAATATCCCAGCGTATAAGTCAGCCATCTTCCATTATTCACATGGATAACAGTTCCTTCTCCAGCTGTCTGCCATACTCTGCTCTCCCCTCTGTCTCCCCCGTTTCTTTTCCTTCTCCACCTGCTCCGCTGCACTACAGACAACTGAAGACGAGGCAGGACTGCGCACTGTCTGCCAGAGAGCTCTCCAACAGCAGAGATTCAGAGGGGCGAGAGGGAGAGAGAGAGAGTGCGCGAGAGGAGGGGCCGTGCAAGTGGATGTCAGCGGTGATATCAAGCGTAGGGAGAGGGGAATGGTTTGGATGTAATTACACAGGCCTCCTGCTGCAGACAGGAGGAGGGGGTGTGAAGGTTGTTACGGGGAACAAGCAAAGCTGCCTGTCAGACAAAACAATGACTTCTGCCTTGCATCGCAGTTCACAGTATGGCCAAACAAATAATTTCAGCTGTCAAAAGCAGGAAACTGGGAATCAAACAAGGAGAAGCTAAATTAAGACTCAATCATAGACATGGTTTGTGGAACTCCGAGCACAATGCTCATAACTAATCTTCTAATTGGAAAGTGTCCAGCAGCACCTTGTCCACTTTGATCCTACAAGTGTCCCTGACCCCGTGGAGTGTAATAGTGATCCATTTATGTTTTTTTAATATGATTTACTCCAAGTGGAAAAAAAATAAACTTTTAAGTCAGAACATATGTTCTCTTCTTTTGCAGCTTATCTCAATACTACAATCAAAGTGACAACATATCACTGCGGTTGAAAGTTCCTGTAAGTAACAGTATCATATGAGCTGCATTAACACAGAGATGTAGTCAAGACCTCTAAATATCTGAATAAGCAGAGTGAGACAATCAGTAATGCAGCATTTGTGGCGCACACAGCATACCCTCATGTAGCAAGACACCAAACGAGGAGATCGTGTTCTGTTGCAAAAACAGGTTTCTGCTGCAGATTCGGTCAAATTGTTCTGTCTCGTGATATTTTATTGTTCAGGTTACTCCAAGTTTGACACGTTTGAGGTCAGTGTGGTGTATTAAGATGTATTTATAGCAATGTATGATGGGTTTACTTGATTAAACTTGTCTGATTACAGCCAATTCTGGTCGATAGAATCATAATGTTACAGTTTGCTGTGGATGACTAAGCGCACGTTAACGTTAACACATTTCAGTCAGACTAATATAAAAGAATCCGTCCTCTGTTTTCATGGCTCACTGTCAGAAGCTCGAGACACTAGAGCATTTAGCTTGAGGCCCCTCTGCAGGACAAAAGAATAATGACAGGGCAAACAAATGTGATTACTGCTGGCTTTAGGGTGCTGCTTTGGACCTGTGTTGCAAAAGGAATTGTGGAGTCATTGTCAGATTTTACCATGCTTACAAAAGCATCTGCATTGTGCAGTAACTGATTTCGTATCTATTTTCTGTTTGCTTTTCTGTATACTGTTGGCGATTCACCTGATTAAGGACCCAGTATGTTGAAAATGTTATGGCTTTTCAGTCTACAAGGTGTTGTTTTCAGTGTGTGGACAATACGCACTTGTCCTATTATTGGCTTCTCTTTCAAACAACATGCCGCATATTGTCAGATTAAATATTTGTGCCTTGTAATTTACCGTTCTAATTTAAGTTTTCATTTAATTTAACGAAATACCCAAAAAAGCACAGTTATCCTTAAATAAGGTGTTCATGAAGTCAATGTTTCAGTCGCCGCTTCCTGA